AACGAACGTCTCAAATGAAATGCCAAAAATAACCCAAAACCACGATCAGCGAGAAGTGGGCTGCGTAATCATTACATTCTCACAGTCGGAGCTAAGTCACGATCCCTCAAACGTTGCCAGGACCGGATTAACACCTCTGTTTTCCCCCCCCACGCTAACCAAATTTCCCCCACGCTAAGGAATAAATCTTTTGTTTTCTATTGACTTCCTGTTCCGGTCCATCTGTGAGAAAAGTATTTTCGATACCTCCGATTTTCCGATAAAGGCGTTCTAAAATCGTGACGTTTTTTACTTGGTTATAAAGACAACATTGGCAATGAATATCTCAACGTGTCCTTCGGTGTTTCGGCAAAAAACATAGTTACTACTAAATAGTTTGTGAATTGGTCGATTGTGTGTCAGAAATTTAAAATAGACAAGTTGACAGTCACATTCATGCTCTCAGTGTATTTCTTTCGTCTGTCATTCTTCCGTTTTCAATTATACTGGACATCAGGCAAGCTATGGGGATAATCTTTATTTGTCTCACACCTTCTGTGGGGCAATAAACAATGCAGGGTGGAAGTGAGGCACGACAAGCTTGTGTCTGCCTGATTGTAAACAACCGGGCGGCTGGCGCTTATTTCTGGTTTCTTATTGACAAAACCACTCAACTCTTGGTGGCTCTTAATGGAGGGTCAAATGTAACAAATTTTCACTGAGTGGCTCTTAATTGAGGGTGGCGCTTATTTGCGGGTTTTTACGGTACATTTTGATGAAGTAAGGGCATCTCAATGCCATGTTCCCATCTGAAAAATCATTTTTTGCCATTAAGCTATAAAACAAAAAATTTGATCTCAAAATTGAATTATTTGTTTTATGCAAAAGATGTTCAGGAGCACTGCTCACACATAACGCAAGATCTCATAGAAATACTGAAAAATTGACTATTAAAAAGCATGCTATGCAACGACTGAGATGGTTCAACTTTGAACTTTGGCATATGATAAGTATAGATAAATGATTTACTCACTGGTTTGACTGGCGCAATGTTTCTCACCATTTGTTGCAATAATTGCGATTCATGATAAGGATATTCTCGGATGATTTCGCGGATAAACTTCTCCATTGCAAGTTGAAAGCCATCAGTTTCTCTCCCCTTCAACAAACTGCAATAGACATACTTAAATTATATCTACTTCTCAAACTATTGGACTGTTCAATCTGTTCAATTGGACTGTTAACATTATTATTATTATCATCATCTTCTACTTTCCCAGCATGTTTTTAGCCAGCCACCTATCCGTCTGTCTGACATTTTAGATAGGCAAATTTGATTTGACAGCTAAATTTCTACAACTTTTTGATAGAAAATTCCAGTTTTTACAAAATAACTGTAAGATAATTAACAAAAACAGGCTATAACCCTGATTCCATTTTGTATAATCTGTAGAAAACCTCATTGACCTCTGACCTTTGTAAGCACAATAATGGTATTGGGTTTGTACAATTTATAAGAAATCTTACTCAACAGAAGCCTGAAAGTTTGTCTTAAAGTAAAGTAAGTTAGTCAATGAGTATGGTAAGTTTAATTTAGTGATTAGACAGCACAACTTTGTTTCTGTCAAGTGTGGTATAGCATCAAGTGCTCTAATAATGCAAGATTTGTTGCCATACTAACTGATTTGTATCATTTTTCATGACGATCATGATAATCACTGAGAGGTTTTCTGCATATAATACACAGTGTTGGTATTATTCAGTTGAAGTTATCCCCAGTCAGCCATTTTGGAATCAAATCATCATAATGAAACAAAATGTTCATCAATAACATGGGTACATGGATGATGTCAATAGTCAGTTTGAATGAAAATAAAAATGTTGAAATCTTGTGTGGCAACAAAAATGGCCACCAGTCAGACAGTCATGGATGAATGAATTCATGCATGGAACCCAGAAAAAAAATCCTGTTTTGGATTACAACCGAAGGAAACTTGTAGTATCACTTACCTTTTAACGAATCCGTCCATTCCATCCAACTTTTCCACATTCCATACATGGCAGGCTCTCACCACAGACGCCAGATAATGCATCTTTACAGATAATACTTCATTTACTTCATTCTTTTTAAATTCCTTTTCACAAATAACATCCAACACTCTAGCCACCTTTGAGGCATTTTCTAGTAGCTCTTTGCTTTTTATCATGTACAAAGCAATCTGTAGTGTGAGAAAATACAATAATATCATTGATGTTAATATTATAAGCATTGTAACAGATATGATGTTATCAAAAAAGGTTGAATAAGTGAGCAAAAATTGGCAAAATTGTGCTTACCCAATCAGTGTTAAGCAGTGAGCACAATTTGTTTCTTGAAACAGGTCAAGGGTTGACCATTTGAAATCAAGGGGGAACCTTTTCATGTACACACACAAATCCAAAACTTTCTGTTTACATATTCCTTTCTTCATTATATCAGTATAATGTATTTCAATACCAAGTTTTAACAACTTTTAAACATACTTTGAAAATAGTAGCTAATTCTTCAAATTTGTTTTCCTACTGATTTTAGTATGTTCTTCAACGCTTTCAGCAGCCATAAAAACAATCATGAAACAGTAACATATGAAATTACATTTCTATAGTAATGGAAAGATAACACTGTCAATATTGATGTGTTAATGACAGACTATGCAGTGGATTATAAAAACATATGTATAATCATATCAAAAATTTTGGGAAAAAATATAACAGAGCAGAGGGAATATTTGACTTACTTTGACAGGATTAAGATTGGACTGTAATATCATTTTATGCAATGGACCAGCTAAGTGAGAAGGAAGTTTGCCTTCTTTTTCAAACCCTAAGACGAACAAAATAAAAAGAAATTATCACTCAATAGTCCTACAGAAGCCTTTAAAAATAAATTTACATTTTCACTTTATCACAATTTTAGGTTGCAACTTGAGAAAAACATGTTGAAAATTTTTCTGTGATTCAGACATTCTCTAAAAAATACTAAGCATGATACTTTAACAACCTATATACATGTTGTATCATATTAATTATGATCACAAATTCTGTGGTCACTCTCACCTTGAGGTTTTGTGTAGTAGTCTAAGTCTTCTTTTGTAAAAAAATTATTAATCAAACTAACACAGGAATGCTGCCCTACAAACGCTGCCATCTGAGTTGCTGTTCTCCCAACACTGTTAATTGAACTGGTCTTGGCACCTGCTTCCAAAAGTACTCGGCAGCATTCAATACTTCCTATATTAAAGTCAATCATAAATTTGTTTCTGGTTAATAATCTACATATATTACACATACAATTACCTATTATTAATAGCATACAATAGTCCTAATTGACGTTACAGACGTAGATATCGTGATCCAATTAATTTATCAACGCATCAGAAAAATTACTGGTATACAAATATACATTGATTTAATAATCTTGAAGAATATTTTACTATAGTTGCAAAATTTATAATTTGGAATAAAAAGGAAAATAAACAAATTATGTATAGCCATTTCTTGAAGATTCCTGTACCAGGCTGTTTACAAGTTGACTCAACTTGATTTTTGAAATTTCATTTAGACCTTGGATCCCTACAAAATAAGTTCTGAGAGAGGGAAATGAATGTTGAGAGTCATGAATATGTTAATGATGTAATAAATATGCACCACTAGCATGACCTATGATTGGTCGGTCATGAGTTCTAAGTTCTACCTGCTGATAAACCCCCAAAATGGGGTTGAGGCCTACCATCGGTGAGTTTGAACAGGTGAAGTTGAGTTTCAAACCCTGAACTATAAAGAGAACCACCCATGAGCGCAAGTACTGACATCAGGTAACCAACGGAAATAGAACAACAGATGAGAACATGATGAACAAGTCAGAATCCTGGAGCCATTGCTAGTTACCAGCCTCTCGTGGCTTGACACTTGAGGTAGGAACCAGCAAAGTTTAGAAACATGTAATATCATTAGAGGATGTTGTCATCTTTGATATACAGTATATATGATCTGAGATTGGAAAAAAAAGGCAGTATTTTTTTAGTTTTCAGTGGTCTACGACATAACATAATTTGCATAAATGAAGTCAAAAAATGTGTGTGAATGGTAGAGTCATCAAACGCCGAGGAAAAAAAACATAATTTCAATCCTGGCAAAGAGTCTGTGGTGAGATTGGTGGATCTATCCTTGGGGCGGAGCTACGTCACAAGACGTTCCACGTTGCTAAGACGCGCACCACTGTACCACATATTTCTATGGGCTCTGCGCGCACTGCTGAGGAAGGAGGAACGCCGAGCGAAGAGCCGGTGAAATTCGAGAAAATAACAGGAACTCGACTTTGAAGTAATCATGAACAATCAAATTTATATGTATTACACACGCAGGGGTAATCTTGTTACACTGTTCAAGGGAGTCTCAACAACCATCCCAAAGTACTGCTTTCTGAGTGTTCTCGGCCTTTGTTTTCACCGTGATGGTTGCCATGCGATGAAAATGCATGGATGTCCGTCCCCGAGAATAAACGTACTAACACGTACTAAAATCCTGCCCTCAGTGTTGAACTGCTGCATCAATGTTATAGAATAGCTGTTCGTATTTTCCACTCATGGACACGATCATTAAAAATAAATATAATACCATGTGGAGAACATGTACATCATCTGCCATGTTTAGGTGAATTAAAAAGACATGTATTTGTTGAAATGGACATACAATGCAGAAGAGTAGTGCAATTTCACCACTTACATCAGTAGAATTGTTCCCCTACATCTAGAACTATTTTGGAATAGTGCTACTCATGATGACTACCGTAAAATCTGTATTAGAAGCCACATCTCTAATATAAGTCGCACCCATTCTTCCTGAAGAATTGAGAACCAAAAATTCACCATTTCTCATACGTGTAGATGCTCTAATAGAAGCTGAATCCCCTCTGTTGCATTGTACCATTTTAATAGAAGCCTCAACTTCTAATACAGATTTTACAGTACTCATCCTCAGCCCATATAATCACATGTACATACCGGTACATGTACCTCTAACAGGACACCAAATGAGGGCTTTATTTGAGTCAAGTGGATACAGATGTACATGAATGCGACTGTGATAAACAACACCCTCTAAAAAACACCCTCATAGAAAATGTACAAAATTGACCAAATATTAGCTTTGTGAAATTAGAAATCAAATAGAAACAATGCATGACATATAAGGATCACCTGGGGACCAGAAGCAAATTTAAAGTCATGTTCAGGGTTACCCCTCTGCATGCATGCCTAAAACGATCATTACGATACACACAATGAATTAGTGATCTCACAATGTAATTCATCCACCCATGGAGACAGCACTCACCTGCCAACGCAGCAAACATCAACGTGGTATATCCGTTCTCATGTTCGTTGCTATTGACATCTGCACCATGGGCAAGAAGTAACTCACATAATTCTTTATTTCCTTTGAATGCAGCATTCTGCAGTGGTGTCATACCATGCTGTGAACAAATGTATGAACATAATCATTAAATTTCTTTGAAGGCCATTGGGGATACTACCCCAGTAGTTTTAGAAGCTGGTATTTTCATCCATGCATTTCATAGACACTCAAAACAATGCAAAAAAAGAATAAACACAAATAAAGACATGTTATGTTGCTAAATGTTGATATTTTTCACTGAACCATGACTGAGTAATGAGCAAATCCTTACACAAGTCTCTGTATGAGTACCCTAATTACTGCTTCAATGATTGACACATTGATGTGTATCACATCATTAACACATTGCCTGCTGTGCCCCTCCCCCTCCCCCCGATTTATTTCAACTATCCATAGAGGTTTTCAGCAGGAAATGTGATTAGATTAATTGCATATATAAATTATAACACATTAAAAATCACAAACTCACCTCTTCTAGGCAGTCAACACGAACTTTACCACTGCTCACAATTTCTTTCACCTTTGAAACCTTTCCTGCATTAAAACAAAACATAGACAATACACACTTAATAAATGTACACACCAATACACATGTCATGTTCTAATAATGTTTGATAAAACTATGTCAACTTTTTTAACAGGATGACTGTAATTTGTTTGTCGTTCCCCATGATCTTGTCCTGAACAAAATTACTGGTTATATATTTGTTAAAAAAAATCTCACAATCACAAATAGATATATAGTTTATGATTTTACTATCACAACCACAAACAAGTTTTCTCATTTTTCATATTTATAAATTTAACAATACAAACTGAAATGAGAGGTTTCTATATGAAATAACAGGGAAACATTTTCAAATGACATCACTGAGTTCATTGATTGGTGGTTGCATGTATGCAACTAGCATTAAAATTTATAAATATTTCTAAAAAACAAAGAAAACAGGTTTGTAAGTGTGATAATATTTTGAGTAACCATTGTTATTTTTCCTGACTTTCGTTATTTAGAGTGTATGCACTCACCATGTGGTCCCATGAGACAAAAAAAAATACATGTAAAAAACATGTACGAAATTTGAACGTTTCATTTCATAAAGCGATTCACATATAAATATACATCTATTTTAAGGTTGCTCGAATTTATAAATATTTTCTTCATTTTTATAGCACTGACCTGAAGCCAGTTGGCCAACCACAAAATGACACACAATCCTCATTTTAAAAAATGGCATTTTCATATGAATTAATCTGATCATCAAATTTAAAGTGCCTGTGAAATGGCTGCTATTTTCATGCCTTAAATTATCAATTGATACATAAATATTATTAATTTTTATGTTTCTAAGCATGAATTATTTTTTTTAAGTGAAAAAATGTGTTTTAAACTCAGTCTACAGCAACTTTATTTTTGTGTATTTTAAAACGAGGCTCCTCATTAGCTTCTCATTTGCATACAGAAATTCCCCTTGTGACGTCAGAAGGGGAAGTCGCATGGCAGCTTGCGTTGCCGATACGTGTAAATAAGGCAAATTTCTTGTGCATTTTTTTCGTCTTTGACTATATTGTCACTTATGTACTTGTTTGTCGAGGAGGAATGGACCATAATGAACACATAGTATCATTTTTTGTTGCACGGAGGTGAGTTAGATGCGAAATATGTCCGTTCTGGTGTAGCTGGTCACCGTGATCGTCACCGGCGCACGTTTGTGCACTGTTGCTGGACAAAATAGAATTTGACGTCGGAATTATCTCGTTATTTAGCAGGTTACTAAGCACGTCACTACACTGTTGTATTTCATCGATCGTCTGAGTAAAACTTTCAAAAATAAAATAAAAGAGAACATACTTGACATTCTAAACATTAGACTATAGTGATCACTATAAAATAATTAAAAAAAAACGACAAATCACAGTTACTGAATAAATGACAGCCGCGTGGAAATAAATTGACATTTTGTTGAAATAGGTGAACGCGTCTGGTCACGGCGAGGGCAAGTGCATTAAACGCGGCG